TAGCTTGATTGCACGAAACTGCCAATCTCAAATATCAAGAAAAGCCGTTCTGGTGTTGACCAGGTTAAGTCTTTACTAGGTGTAACTCAGACGGAGCTTTAGGATTTAGTTTCAATAGCTTGCCTCTTAGAAAACATCCTCAAACTTCTTAGGGTGACCTAAACAATGCAGAAAATCTGCCCTGACTGTGGAGATGATGAAGTGAATAGCCTCTTCTCGTCAGGCTGTTTTGCAATTCACCAAACTAATTGCCTCTGAAGACCATAAGAAACAAAATCCTGAATTATTGTGCCATGGCTGGTGTGTCATGTGAATGCAAACGACTTCGTAAAACGTCGACTCAGTCTAACTGTCCCATCATGTTGAGGTTTGATGATTCCCTTTATGCTAGTAAGTTTACTTAATTTCAAGATCATTAAAGACCGAATGGCAATTGTAAGTCTGTAACCATAGCAGAAGACAAAAGTTGGGTCGATGCAAAACAATGTGTTACAATGATGTTTTCGCCACCTCGGCTAAAATTCAGCGAAAGTGGGTCGTGTACCGCGACAGTCACCTAGTACTGACAGTAGCATTCAGCGAACTGCACAACATCCACGCATGCCAATGCAACTAGGATCTGATTATGATATCAGCATCCCTGTAAACGTATTAAAATTGATACTACTGCTGCAGGTTGTCCCAAGAAATTTTCAACTAAACCTGGCTACCTCACTACTGTGAACAAATTTCACAGGGTTGAGTCTGATGATGTGGAAGAATACTTCGTATTCAGGATTTTCACCATGAGCTGACATTGTGCGTCGGTGGCACAGTGGTTAGGACGCTCGCCGACCATGCACATGGTCCGGGGTTCGATCCCCGGCCGGCGCACTCCTTTACTTCGTATTCAATTTGCCTGCTAAGAGTAAGCGTGTCAACAAACCCACACTTGATACGAAGAAATCCTCTCATAACACATGTACATTTGATGGATTTCAGCATACTGCTCCTGATAGAAACTAAGGTCTAGAAAACCCCAAAGTATTGTGACCGATGCACCTTCTCCACAATATTCTTCTGGTTATAGAGACAATATGTACCAGTATGCCGAATAGCAGAGTGAAGTGTAGAACTTACGATGGTTTGCCTTTTAATCCACAACTCAGGCCCAACCACTACTACCCGTATATCCAGGAACACACAGTAAATTACTAGGTGTCCCGAATCGATGGAATCACTGGCCACGTCATCACACTCTAACCCCGATGTATGCACATCCAGTCAGATTCTCTTATCATCCATAAACTCTCTTGCTGCTGACGCACAAATAGAATCGGGCTGTGGTGATATTTTAAGCCAGTTTGTAGTATCTCGCGACTTATTCACTATATTACTAATCAAGGCACATTCGCTAATCAACAAGATATCTGAACTAAGAACATTGGTATTAACCGCCAAGACTACTGTAATAATAATAATAACAATAAATATATATTCTCATTTTTGTACATGTAGTTCTGATAACTGAATTATCGCGCTCATCCTCTATACTTGAAGTGCATTTAGATACAAGTGATTACACTGTACAGCGTGCGAATACAGCTTGCGAGCGTGGTGGAGGATATCTCATTTATATATATACACATAAATCATTTTTAGTCAGTAAGGTGTGGGATGAAATACTGAATCCCCTACCTGATTCGCATAAAACAAACATCATAGGGTGTTTATCGGGCACCATGCTCAACCAAAGAAACTGACGCATTATTAGCTAAATCGTTTGCACACGCCTCCTCGTTTAGTACTAATTACAAAATAATTGCAGAAGAATTCAATCTTTCAGGCGTCAACTGGTTGGGTAGTTCCGACCCACAACACCTCGACGGATTGATTGCCGCTATTGATTGTTACGGATGGGAACAACACGTCCAGACACATACTCGTGGTGACAACATGTTGTACCTTGTGTTTTGTCATCACATAATACTGATCTTCACCCGTATGTGCGACAGATTTTCCAGTAGCGACCTTAGAACTCTACTGCAATCTCTGTCTTTCTCACTACTGAGTACAGGAAATGGTAGATTTCATTTTCATTATGTGTACATTATTGCATTTAAAATTTGTTTATTTTACCTGCGCTCTGTGCAGGGATTTTTATAGTCTCAAATGCTGTCAGCTGTAGGAATCCATATCATGATGAATATGACCAAGATATCTGGCCTTCTTATGAATAATCAACCGATTAACGAGGTAAAGAATAAATACCTTACTTTAGCAAATATTAACGATATGCTTAGTTTTCCTGTGTATGCATAAATTTCTCGAGCACTACAAAATGCTTTATTATTAATCTGGAAGTAGTGTTATTGTGTAACAAAGAGTATGCAAAATTATGACACGTTTCTTTCCAAGATGCACTCTGCTGGCTACTGTATATCAGGATACAAATCGCTCTCCAGCCATCGTGCATGACACTCAATACGGATGTATGCGCATTTCACCAGTTTAAGTGTACCAGAATCGGAATCATTATCCAACGCGTTCAAAAGTAAGGCAAAACTTGATGATCTGTTGTCCCACAGGATACGCTCCATTCGTCCAACTATAGGGCAGTGTAAATTGAAGAATAAAAAGCGGAACAGTGGTATATTCCCAATAACCAAGTTAGTTCCTAGTTTTTTTTGAATTCTGGTATTATAAGGTCTAGAGGGTCAGTAACAAGGTGTTGATAGTGTCAGTGAAAAGTATGCCAAACACCAGGACACATTGCCTCATAGAGCTAACCGTATTTGAGTTTTCAAGGTATGAGCCAATTTTGTTCAAGTTCGGTGGATGGAATTGGCATGAACATACAGTGTTAATTTAAGGAAGTAATAGTTTGAACTCCTACTTCTTGATATTACGAATTGGAATTCGTGTGCATTTCAGATTCTGTGGTGCATGAAGAAGTCTCTTTTACTCTTCCCACTTTTACTTTGAGTTAAAATATCTAGTAGCTCTACGATGGGCTGGTGCACATCAGCCTTTGTCTGCCACATGATTCTGTGAGATGGTTTTAGGATTTTGATGAACTTTATCACTTCGGATTTGACTCCGGGTTGGCAGAGTTTATTGGGGGATTTTGTATTCACAAAGTGACTGTGATGCATCCTAAGACAGTTTTCCTTGTCGCTGTAAACAAGCAGCCATCACTTGAGGGACAGTTAGAAAGTTTGGTAGGAAATAAATGAGGGAGGTAGAAGAAACAGCCGTGAGAGTGATAATTATCTAAAAATAGTGGAAAGGAATGTGGTAAAGAAATACAGAGAAGCGATGAATGCCAAGAAGGAGGTGGAAAATAGAAGAGATGGGAGAGTATGCGGGGGTGGAAAATCCCCAAAAGTCACCATCTTCCATCCTCACCACCAAATAACATGGGGTATTGAGATTGTGCTTGGTACTATTCTGTAATCATTTTATATTTATATTTTTTGATTACAGCTTGATTCCATACAGTTTTTTGGTATAGGTATGGAATTTTTAGCATGTGATATCGGTAGCCCAAATTTTGCAGGCCGATATCAAGTGTGCGTCAGCAGGGAATCGAACCCTGGACCATGTGCATGATTGGCGAGAGTTATAACCGCTGTGCTACCAACGCACTGTCATTGATTCAGATTTTTCAGACTTATTGGTTGAGGATAGAAGGCTTTGGGCCTATGTTAGTCCTTTTCTAGTAAATTTATGTGGTTGTCCAAACCCTTCTTGAACGAATCAGTTGAGGTTGCAGACACCACTTCTTCTGGGAGTCGGTTCAACAAGTCTATAACGCGGTGTGAGAACCAGTACTCAACAGCAATATGATTTCTTCTTGGCTTTTGAACTCTCCTGCTATGTCCTCTAAGGTGTTCTGACCTGGTGGGAAGGAAAAGAGAGAATAGGTCAGGTCCGTAATCATTATTTAAAATTTTAGACATTGTGATTAAATCTCCTCTCTGCCTACGGTATGACAAGTAGAAGAGATTTAAACTGTCTAGTCTTTCCTCGTATGATAAATTAGTCATCCCGTGAACCATACGTGTTGCCTTCCTTTGAACCCTTTCTAGAATAAGTGAGTCCCCTTTTAGACAAAAGCTGGAGGCTGGATGCAGTTTTCCAGTCTTGACCTCACCAGAGATGTATATAAGGAGGTGAACATATCTCTGGTGATCCTAATGAAGGCTCTGCGAATTGCCCATAATGACCTGAAACTACGTGCAGCCACCGCGCGACAGTGTGCTGTTGTTTTTAAGTTGTGGCTAACTATGACCCTTAAGTCCAAGTGAGTCTGAACTGATGGAAGTGTTATTCCCTCTAGTTCGTAGGAGCTCATGCGCATGGTTGCACATTTTGCCACATTTATCGGGAGCATCCATTCTATGGACCACTCTGACAATTTGTTGAGGTCCTCTTGCAAAGTGGACGTGTCACTGTTGCCCTTCAGCTCTCTTCAAATTTTTGAGTCATCTGCGTATAGGACCATAGGGGAGTTGGTGAGCAGAGATAACTCATTAATATACAAAATGAATAGGAGAGGTCCGAGTACCGTGCCTTGTGGCACTCCGCTGCGTACTGCTGTCCAAGAGGAGAGTTTCGAGTTTATCCTAACCCTCTGCCTCCTATCTATGAGGAATTCCCTGAGCCAGTTGATGGTAGAAATGTTTAATTTAATTGGAAGTGGCTGAGATAATATCAGTGTCAATCGAGCCTTTTCAGTCTGCTGGGGCGAAAAAGCATTAAGTCTCACAAACCTGTATATCATGTAATAAAAGCAATTTCTTCTCAGGTTTTGTACATGAGGGGCACCAGTTTACAGCCATGAGCAATATACTAGGAGTAAGCATATTTACAATTATTCACTTACACAAGGTATTCATAAGAAAACGTGATGGAATAATGCCTATGATGGCACTTCATACAAGTGAGAGCGTTGTGCATAGAATAATACAAAGCATCTCCATTGAATTGATTGGACAAAACCACGCGTCCTATTCGATGGTTGCGTTACTGAAGGTAGGTGTAATGGGGCAAAAACTAGTATAATACCACTAAATAAGTTTTCTTTTCTTCTTTTGCAGAAACAAATGTCAGTATAAACTCATTGGAGCAAGAAGAGGAGCGTTTGGCCAGGCTTGATCTATCGGATGATTAATTAACTTGTACACGCACACTTTAAACCTTGCTTAATCACAATATACGTCTTTCACGGCACTCTGCGTTCTTCCTTCTCCGTCTGTGACTGTGCGTGATCCTCTGTTGCAAATTGGTGTCGGAGGTTTTCAATTCTGCAGTCAACATGGACACATCATCAAATTATGGCCTCCCAGAAGCAAGTGCCATCACCACGCCCACTGCGCCTGCGTTGCCCCGTCCCCCAACGCTGCAGCTGTCATCATACTACCCCTTCTGGAAGGAACGCATCCAGGCATTCCTCACCTTCTGTCCACCAGCTCACCATTTCCTCCATGTCCTCAGTTCTCTCTCCGACGATGCCTTTGCACTTGCCGATGCTGCCGGGTTCAGCAGAACAAAATCCATGACGGAAAACTGGCAAATCCTGGACAACTGTTTCGATTTACAATTGGGCTCCTACCATGCCTTCCTGAAATTCTTCAGTCGTCGACAATTACCCGGGGAAAGTCGCCTAGAGGTAGATGATAATGCAGACCCCAACCACAGAGACACTGCAGCATCAGCCAGCAGCTCCTTCTGCCCAATTCCAACGGCATCGACCGCAGCGGCACTTGGCACCGTCCCTCGCAACTCAACGCGGTTTCAGAGGCGCCCAGATGTAGATACCACCCGTAGCCATTGCTATTACTGCCGACGTTACGGAAGGAAGGCTCGCAAGTGTGGCCACAACCGCCCCCGGGAAAATAGTAAGTCTCTTTTTAACAATTTGTCTACCTTTTCATGTAATAAGGAACCTCTCACTGTTTGGGGACTTGTTAATGGTGTGCAAGCTAGGATCTTGCTGGATACTGGGGCATCAGTGTCCCTAATACGGACATCCCTCCTGCACCAGTCGACCCACTATCCACCCCCTGTCCCTACTCACAATGTGTTAAACACGGCGAATGGCGCTAAAATAGATGCCCAAGAAGTCATCAACCTACATATACACCTGCGGAACCTAGTAGTCTACCACCGTCTTCTTATCTGTCCCGAAATCACACGGGACCTGATCCTCGGCGTCGATTTTCTTACTGCACACTCTGCTGTCATAGACCTTTCCCACAATCCAATATCCTGATTACGAGCTTGTATAAACCAGTGATTTCTTTGAGCTCGCTTCTTGATTGTAAGGTAGAGGTTCCAGATCTTCGGTGAACTTATGCGTAGTAAATCCCGCCACTCGACTGCTTTCGCTCTGGTAGACTCCAAGAGGAGTGGTGCGAGGATTGGTCAAGATTGTGGTTTGTAGTGTGCAGTATTTTAGGACTCAGCTGCCGCCGTGAATGGAGTTTGACCTTACACCCATTGGTCATTCGGTGTAGTCATAAAAGTAGAATAATAATAATAATAATAGTAGGTTGTAGTGTAGATAATATAGGTTGAGATAAGGGGAATAATAAAGAAAGAAAGAAAGGATAGAGTAGTCGGTACAATGGGAGAAGACAGGACGGGTCGTGGGGATTTAGCTTGTATGCTTATCCATTGACAATGTGGTTTCAAATTTTAAGAGGATAAGCCATTGAGACACAAACCATGCATTTCTGCATGATTGTCCAGCTTCCGCTTAAAAGTTTCCACAGATGGCGCTGTAGTTACGGCCGCCGGTAAAGCGTTCCAGAGACGGCAAACTCGAAGCGAGAAGAAATGTGAACGCACTCGAGTCTTTGGTCTCTGGTGTGCTATCCTTAGTGGGTTACCTCGTGGAAGCCTATAATCACTTAATGGCAGGATGCTCTTATTAGGGCGGGCCTGGTCATTTAAGATCTTATAGACGGTGATGAGGTCTCCCCTGTGACTACGGTAACTAAGTGTGAAAAGACTTAATTCCTTCAGTCTTTCCTCATATGATTTGTTGCGGAGGCCGATCACCCATTTTGTCACTCGTCTGTGGACACTTTCTAGAATGTTAGCATCCGTTTTGAGTAGTGGAGGAGCAATGATGTTATGCACCTCAAGGAGTGGCCTCACGTATGTCGTATACAACGTTAGGAATAGTTCAGGAGTAAGAGCTCCCAGCTGCCTATACATAAAGTGTAAAGTAGCGTAAGCTTTGGCGACGTCCCTCGTGTAATTTACACTGGTGTCTAGCTTTTCTGTTAAAATAAGACCTAGGTCGCGTTCTGATGGCACACAACTCCAGTTCTGGCCACCAAGGGTGTAATTTGCACTCTGTGACCTACCGGAATGAAGTTGCACTACTTTGCACTTCTTTAGGTTGAAAGGCATTCCGTTAGCCAGAGCCCAGTTTCCCAGAGTTTGCAGGTCAGCCTGCAATCTGTCGGAGTCTTCCGATGAGTTTATTGCTCTCCAAATCTTTACGTCGTCAGCGTAACGAAGCGCAGAGCAGTTCTGTTGACAGGGCAGGTCGTTGATAAAAATCAAAGACATCAACGGCTCTAAGATAGAACCCTGAGGAACTCCTGATTCCGAGGTATGCCAGGATGATCGGATGCGGTTGACTTTGGTGCAGAATTCTCTCTCGCCTAAGTAATCTTTCAGCCATGCGAGAAACACCTGCTTAGCTTATTTTGTGAAGGAGCAGACCATGGTGAACTGTGTCGAATGCTTTCGCAAGTCGAGAAAGATCACATGGACTGGTACCTTTACATCCCAGGATAGTGTCCAATCGTTCCAAGCTAGTAGAAGATTCGTCACACAGGATCTTCCCCTCCTGAAACCGTGCTGTGCTTCATGGAGTAGGTTAGTCCCGTCGAAGTATTTTCTCATATGGTCGTCAATGAGACTTTCCAATATCTTCGATATCACTGGGAGTAGCGCAACTGTTCTGTAACTGGTCGCGTTCTGCCGGTCTCCACCCTTGAAGATAGGGGATAGGATGGCTCGTTTCCATTCACATGGAAGTTTCCCTACATCAAAGGAGTGTTGAAACAGATCACTTAGGGGTTGGCAGAGACTTTCTAAACACTGCTTCAGGGGGGATGGTCTTATGGCATCGCAACCTGCAGACTTTCCCGAAGCCAGCTTTCCAAATTTTACGAGTACCATAGCCGGGGTAATTTGAAATGTACCCAGCAGGTTTTTGCACGTTGGTCTTGCATTGTAATCTTGATGTTTTGTGGGGGTAAAATCCTCGTTACTGTTCAGCTGCTTGTGAAAGGCTAGACTGAATGTCTCTGCCATTTCAAGACTAGTAAGAGATTTCCCATCAGAACCCACTAGATTGCAAGCTCCCTGGTTGGTCGGTTTTCTTTCAGACATAAACCTGTATAGGCTTTTGGGGTTCACGAGAAGCTTATTGGCGAGGTTTCTCTGAAATGTCCTTCTATCACTCCGGACTCGTATGTTACATCGATTCCTGAGTTCGAGGTACACTTCATGTTCGGGTTAACTCTTCGATACTCGCCACGCAAACCAGGCTTTTCGCTTCGCCTGTAGAAGGCATTGTGTCCCCCTTTTTAGCCATGAAAGTTGCTTTCTAGCTTTTGGTGTGACTAAAAGAACAGTGTCTGAGACCGCCTGGTGAATGATCTCCTTTACCACTCCCCAGTGTTCTTCTACTGTAAGCTCTGTCCGATTTTTTGGCCAATTTGCTTCAGACAAAAGTCTTCGCATTTCGGTGTAATTGGCTTTGTTATAACACAGATAGGGCTGTGTATTGTCCCACTGTAAACGCTCGCGGAGGACTATGTCGAATGTTATGACCGCGTGGTCACTACTACCTATGGGAGTCGTGATCTGAACATTTTCCACTAGTAGCTGGTCACTAGTGAGCACATAATCCAGTCTAAAGGACTTCCCATCTGGGCCCCATCTAGTATCCATTCTGACATTTTCAGTGAATCCGGCCTCCCTGATGGTATGCAGCAGATTTCGATCAAATCTATCATGGGCATATCCCGTTATCAAGTTAAGAGATGGGGCATTAAAGTCTCCAGCTATGACAATTTGATCATAACCCATGTCTCGTGTCGCTGAAATTGCATTCAGCAGTACCTGGTTTTTTTTTTTGATTTACAGCTTGATTCCACACCGTATTTTCAGTACAAGTATGGAATTTTCAGCATGGATATCGGTTGCCCAAATTCAGGCCGACCATAGATATCGGGTGTGCGCCGGCAGGGGATCGAACCCCGGACCATGTGCATGGTCGGCGAGAGTCCTAACCACTGTGCCACCGACGCACATGAAGGTGATCTATAAATGCTGCCCACTAGATATTTATAGTACCCAACGGTGAAATGGCACCATAGGGAGTCAGGGAGCTCAATGAGGGGAGGGTCCATTGCATGGACACATCTGAACTGTTTGTCGACGTATATGGCGACTCCACCTCCTTCTTTCAGATCCCTGTCTCGCCTGACTAGGACCATATCATTTATGCTGACTTCGCTGTCTGCCACCGTAGGGGTTAGCCAGGTTTCCGTCAGTATTATGATTTTGGAGTTCAGCTGTGATTGTAGGTATCTAAGTTCAGCTATTTTGCCTCTTAGACCTCTCACATTACTGTACAGGCAACTGGCAGTCAGTCTCACCACGTCCCCGTATTGGGGGGTGGTTGACGTGATGTGGGCTGTCGGTTGAGGAGTTATCCTACGAACTAGTTGGTCGATTCCCCGGGAACCGGCCTGTTGGCGTTTTTTTCTTCTGATTCAATCGGAGCACTTGGATGACACTGGCTATCATCGTCCGTGCTGCACCGCTGTATTGTGACTAGGGGTTGGGGATGTTCTATGACAACGTTTTGTTCTCTCCTTTGGGTACGAGGCCGGCTCTCGCAGCAGTGAATGTGTCTGCTGACCTTGTCCTTGGTCTCGTACCATCTCTGGAGAGCAGTAGTCAAGTGGTCTCGGGAGCTGAACTTAACAGCTAACAGACGTGGCGTGTTAATTGACATAAGGTGAGTGGGTCGAGGCAGTCTATAAATAGAGACAGCCCCTGAACTTCCCAGAGCCATCTGGGATGCCAACCATCTCCATTGCTGTACATCATGACAGTGCTTCTCACAAGTGTTCCCAGTTACCAGTTCGGGAATGCCGTGAACAACCATGGAGGCAGAAGGAATAAGCTCTGGCGACTCCCTCGCCATCTGTCTTTCCTTCCATGGCCTATCTGGCCTAACACGTATATTGCAGGTCCTCCCTATAGAAAGGACTTGGGAAGTCAATAAAACTTTTTCGGCATCCTCGGTAGAGCCCAGTGTTACCCTCAGTGGGGATGGTTTGCCTTGAGGAGCAGCAGTGCCCCTATACAATCTGCATAGTTTTACTGGTTGGATGTCCAGACCCAGTGTGCTACATAAGTTGGACCACTGTTCCTGATCAAACAGGGCCCTGTTTTCCAGCAGACTACTGCTACAGTCTGGTACATTAAAGAGGATAACGCAGTTTGATCTACTAACCGTGGATTTAGGTTTGGTCCTCGCACATTTGTCATCCCCCTTAAGACCGTTTTGTTTCGTCTGGTGCAACTGGGTATTATTGTGTGTCGCAGTGCTGTGGCCACTTTTACTGGTGGACGGTAAGGGTCTTTTCCCAGCGACAGATACCCTTGGTGCTTCAACCTCTGTGTCTGGGGCAGTTATGGCAGGAATCGCAAGTATAACCGGTGTGGATTTTGGTATCCCCGATTTACGTGCAATTGTGCTGTTTTCTGAGTTGGTGGGAGTAAAACGTTTCACGTTTTTCCCTGATACCTCTATGCCATCTTTAGCTTTCGAGGAACTACACGAGGCTGCATCAGGACGGCAACTCGGGCATATGTACCAGAACCATGGGCATGGGTTCTTACGCATAAAATCGTAATATACTTTTGGTACCCCGGTGTCACATCTATAATGTATCCATTGCTTGCAAAAGTTGCATTCGAAAGCAGAGTCTACTTGTTCGACAACAGAATTGCAGACCTTGCAATCGTCTGTCTTCTTGGGGAACGTTTTCGTCGTCTTGCGGCGTCGTGAACGTTTCTTATTGGCCTTCCTGTTTGTTTCAAGGCCTACTGTGGATATGGGTGTTATACTATTCTCACTTTGTGCAGATTTACCACTCGGCTCTATTAACCTAGTCGTGTTAACAGGGATGGAGCCACATCCGCTTAGTTGACTATTCACAGTTTCACTGTAGGACTGCGGCGACATGGGCAATCTGTCCACGCAGGGAATATTTACCCTGGTCTTCAAGACCGGTATACGAGATTCCATCACCTTCACCTGTTTGCCTAATTTGGCTGAAGCCCTGGTGACTACGGTGTATGGTCTCCCATTACTTATCTTAGGGTGAGAATCTATAGTCATATTATTCCTAAATTAATACCGATGATTAAATAATAAGAGACAGTGGAGTTGTTTTGTCCAATAGACTGACAGCAAAAGACAATAGAAAGCACAGTTGAAGTACACCCGGACGACTGCCCAGAAACTGCCGTCATACTCCCGACTGGGTTGTACGAATTTCGCACCATGCCTTTTGGTTTGTGTAATGCCCCTGCCACTTTTCAACGGCTGATGCTGTCTGGATTCAACATAGAACTTGGCACCGAAGTGCAGCAGTTTGAGTCGCCACGTTCCAAATGGCACACAAAGGTGGACAAGAAAATGAGTGAAGAGAATCAATCGAGTTTTGACAAGTATAAGAGTGAAACAGAATGAGCAATGGTAGAAAGGAATATGAAAGATTACAGAGACTGAATACATCTGCGTAAGCCATTGACAACGATTTCGAGCCATGTCACCTATTGTCTTCTTAGAGCCCCGAGGGCCCCAACCCGGAAGTCTGCATCTCCCTACCTGACTCAGTTTAACTGTCAAGGATTTCATGGGTTGATGCCATGTTTTTGTTTGGTCACCACTTACTCTTTTCCAACCTGCACCTATATCAGCTAGTAATGCCCGTCGGGGTGGGGGAGGCGATGGCTAGGCATGCGCAGCACGTGACCTAGCCATCTCAATCTATGTAACTTTATAGCCTCTTCGATTGATTTTCCCTCTTTGCCCAACACTACGCCTAACGTCAACATTACTTACCTTATTATGCCACCTAACATGAGAAAGAGATCGTAAACATCTATGATCAAAAATAGTCAACCTTTTCATGTCTTCAACTCGTATCGGCCATGTTTCAGAGCCATAGAGAAGGACGGAGCGAACTGATGAGCAGTACACACGCGCTTTCATTGATACGTGGGTGTCTCGTTTTGGTGCCCCACTTTACCTACACTCCGACCAAGGTACTGCTTTCGAGAGTAACCTCATCGTGCACATCTACAATACGTTTGCCATTCGGAAAACGCATATGACGTCCTACCATCCACAAGGTAATGGGTTGGTGGAACGCACCAACAGAACCATCAAGAATCTTCTCTGTGCCTTTCTGCATAACGCTCCGGAAAACACCTGGGACGACGTCCTGCCCCAGTGCTTGCTGGCTTATCGCTCATTCGGGCATTCTTCAACGGGTTTTTCTCCAGCTATGCTGTTGTTCGGGCGTGAACTCCGTCTACCAGTTGAGATCCAGGCGCCAATGCTACCGTATGGGAGAATCGACTTCATACCCTACGTCCGACATCTTCGTCATCATCTGGAGGTAGCATACGGTCTGGCGCGCCGTCATCTCCATTCCTTTTCAGAACACCAGAAGATCATCTACGACCGGTTCGCTCGCGGACCCACATATTCCCTCGGTGATTACGTCTAGCTACATCGACCGTCAGTCCCAGCTGGTTCGTGCCCAAAATTCTACGCGCCATGGCAAGGACCATTCGAGATCGTCCAACACCGACCCCCGACTACGTACGTCCTGCGAAATCTACGACGCCCTCAAGACACTCTCATCTCCGCCCATTACAACCAACTGAAACCTCACCATCCCGCAGCCGTCAAGGAGTCGCCGAACCCCTCACAACCGCCGCCTGCCACTAGCTTCGTCGAGGTGCGTCTGCCGGAGGCACGGCATACCCTATACCACCATCAGGCACTGAGGACAGTGCCCACAGAAGGGAGGAGGCAATGTAATGGGAACAAAACTAGTATAATAACACTAAATAAGTTTTCTTTCCTTCTTTTGCAGAAACAAATGTCAGTATAAACTCATTGGAGCAAGAAGAGGAGCGTTTGGCCAGGCTTGATCTATCGGATGATTAATTAACTTGTACACGCACCTTGCTTAATCACAATATACATCTTTCACGGCACTCTGCGTTCTTCCTTCTCTGTCTGTGACTGTGCGTGATTTTCTGTTACATAGGCGTAGTAGGTTATTCATAAAGTGATGAAACTGCTATGTAAAATGTTAGTTAGTTGAGGAGGAACGTAATGGGTAGTTCACGAGGCCGTTGTAGGATATGGGACCAGTAATGTTTCCAGATTATTGTCATATTAAGTAGTCAAATATCTACATTCTTCATTCTCGTTCAAAAGTTCATATAGAAGCTAAAATGGTGAGAGAAAAAAGAAGACGAACGACAGCAGCACAAAAGAAAGCAAGTGGAATCCTCAAGGGGTGATGTATAAATTTATATGTATGAATATTGTGTGTAGTAACTATGACCATGTTGGTGCACTAACTAACTAGTCCTGTTATGCTGACTTTTATATTATGTGTGAACGAATATTATTGTCCTGTGTAGAAATGTTTATCATGTCTTTCCAATAATATTAACACTTATAATCGTAGTTTTTGTAACTTTTACATTTAGTGAACTTTAAATATCTATGTAGGATGTAGAAGAGGGTGTGGGAGTCAGACGTGGGAGTGCATTGTCATCTTCGAGCAGTCTAGTGACTGAGAAGATGAACACTGGGAGTGTGTTTGCATCACGCACATCAGCTGGTAGTCTATTCCAAATGACTGAAAACTTATTTCAGAAGAAGTTGTACCGCATGTAAGTTTGACAATGCTCTATAGCAACTAGATTGTGATGATTTCTAAGATTGTAACTGATGACAGCGGTAGATTTAGTTATTAGCTCGGAGTAGTGCAAAAGCAGATTAATTAGCTTGTAGCAGAAAATAAGATTACGCTTAAGACGTCTTTTTCAGAGTGGTTCTACTTTCAAACTGTCGTAACGAAGCGTAGTTGAGACTACATTATGAACCAAGATTCTTAGAGTATGTTGCCGTTGCACTCCCTCTAGTTTAGGCTTGTCATTCTGTTTCGGTCCGCATAGAGTAAACGGGCAGTATTCTAAAATAGGTCGGACACATACTTTGTATGATAAAACCTGTTTCACAACAAAAGAAATTGCGAGTTATGCATCCCGGGAGCCTTCGTGTTTTACGTCTAGCATAATCAGTTTGTTCAGAGAACGTTAAATTCCTAGAGTATCTGATACCGAGATCTACGATTGAATTGAGCTTGGCTTGCTTTCGTCCATTTATTTCAAGAGTTAGGTCTAGGTTACTGTTGCCGATACAAATCCAGCCGCATTTGTCAATGTTAAACTTTAGACAGGATTCAGCACACCAAGATGTATTTTACTTACCATATCGTTTAATTCATGAGTGTAGCAGGAGTAAACGACTTTGAGTTCGTCAGCATATAGGAATGGTTTACCTGAGGTGAAGCAGTTGCAAGTGCTGTCAATGTCTACTGTGAGTAAAAGTGGACCTAGGACACTACCTTGCACAACCGCACTCGAGATCTGCTTAGAATGAGACAATACAGATCCCACTTTGGTTATTTGTTCCCTGTTGTTTAGAAACGATTTTAACCAGTTCAGTAATGGATTGCTAATTCCACATGAGTACAGCCTCTCAAAGAGAATACTGTGAGATACCATGTCCAATGCCCTAGATAAATCGAAGTAGAAAACAACAACTAGCTTACGAGCTTCACAACTACTAGTGATGCAGTTGATAAAGTCGAAGTGGTAAGTAACACAGGACCTATTTTTGAGAAATCTGTGTTGAAACTTTGTAACAAGATCTTTCCCAAGTAGACAGTCTGATAACAGACTTTCATCAACAGCTGCCACCTTCGCTGTCTCCATACTGAAGATCAAATGGCTAGCCAGAAAGAATCAGCAAAAAGAAACTCTGACTCGTCAGGAACAAACCAACAGGCATGAGCCGATCGTTCAACAAATACTGAGGAGAAAGTAGAGATGTATCGAGCATACATTGAGGAGGCCTCCGAATGACATCGCCATTCTTCGAGTTGTACCTCAATGGGAATCGACGAGTACCTTGTCCTAGGGTGTCATGGAGGAGATCGTATGAAGAAGAGATGAGAGAGTTTGGTCAATCGTGGACCGAAGTGAAGAAGACGGCAGACAACAGAAAAAAGTGGAGATATTTTGTTGAAGCCCTATTTTCCACACAGAACGCAAAAGAATAATAACAATAAAAGTGCACTAGAAGTTCTTTCAATAGGAATCTTCAAATAAGCAGGTTTGAGATCTATTTTGCAAAAGTATTTTGAGCCATCCGGCCTGTAGAGTATGTCTTCAGTTGCTAGCTTAGTGTCTGTTCGCAGTAGTAGGCGACTTTGAGTGTAAGGCTGTAGTCACCACAAATTCTCAGTGCTTTCCCATCAGCCTTTAGTGGCGTCACAATGGGAGTAATCGAATTCGAAGATTCAACTGGCATAAGTATGCCCTGCTCAACCAACTTGTCTAACTCTTTCTTAACTGCATCTCGCAAACTGTGTGGTATTAGTCGGCACACTAGGAAGATAGAATCACTCTCTATTTCAAGATGGATGGTTTGAATCTTCATGCCACCTACACACCTTCAACATTAGAGAACTAGTTCTCTGAACGAAGATTCACCGAACATCTCAGTGCAAGTGACGTTTAGACATTCAACAATCTCAAAAGACTTTTAATCCAATAAAGATGGACCGTATTCACTCACAAGAAAGGGGATATTCACAAAACTACCACTGTCTGATTTCAAACCAACGTGAGTAGTACCAATAAGAGGTAGTTTATAACCAGTGATACCTGTAATGGAGCTATCAGTAGGGTCTACCTGGGCATGATTACAAAGCGATAGTAAATCTTCCTTAGAAATTGTAGATTCAGTGCTCCTATTGTCCATTATATAAGAGTGAAACTTGACTCAACTTGTAGTGTGAAGGTTCTCATCAGATGAGATTCAGTGCTGTGAAAAGTTGAAAGAGACGTTGACTGCATTTTACCGGACGAATTGGGAGAATCATGAGAATTCTGAGTAGCATGAGTATTTGAATACCAGCAAACAGATTTGATGTGCCCGATTTTGCCACTTTCGTGGCACTTAGCACCCCGAAAACGGCATGTGCTTCGCAGATGAATCTTTCCACAGGAAAAACATTGCTTCATGTCTTCACTGTCTGTCTGCATTTCATTACATGTGGATGACAGTTTGGATTGCATTTCATGAATACCTGCGTTATCAACTTTGGACAGCATAACATCAGACATCGACGTAGTGGGAGCTGGGTATTCACTGTTGACATCTTCATATGTAATACATAAATCCTTAGCAGTTCGAAAGCTGAAGGAAGGAATCTGTAGCAACTCTGTCTCTAACTTTTGAATATTGATCCCACCAATTAGACGACCAAGTAGTTGAGTATGGAGCCGATCTCCAAAGTTGAACTCTGAGGCTTGTATCTGAAGCTGAAGAATAAAGTCTCTAATCTTCTGGTTGGGAGAACAAACAAGTTTGTCGAAGTGAGCCCTGTCTCGTGTTTTGAAAGAAGTTGTTTGGAAATCATCTGTTAGAATTCCACGTAGGTAATCATATGGCAGAGAAATAAGTTTGTCTGGAAATGACAGAGATTTCACTGGGCTGTACTCATCTAGCCCAATCACAGTAATAAAATGAGCTGAAATGTTGTCATCACGAACATTCTTCGACATGCAGCATGCGTCAAAGCATTCGAGATAATCGGCGATTTCCCTTGGTGAACCATTCATAGGAAACTTTCCAAGATCATTTAATCCTGCTCGCGACGCCAAAATGTACTGATCATTCGTAATAGTAGTGTTTCGCGATGACCGAATTGTAGCTAATCAACCAACAACACAGAGAGCGATGCGTTTAGGAATTTGTGTCCGGCAGAATTATTTGTAATTCATGTAATAAATTGAAAATCCCCATTGAGTCATATGAAAAAGAGAAGACATTCAGCTGAATGTCTTCTCTTTTTCATGTAATAAATGTTAACAGACAACAGTAAGTATTTGAAGAATATAGTAATACAAATTGTCGATCACCACAATCCATTCACATAATGAACAGGATTCCTTCCGTATATGTTTAATAACAATAATAATAATCTTTATTCTGGACAGTATTCACAAAATGTACATAATTTCCAGACGAGTTTATTGAGTGATATTTCCCTTCGTACAACATCTTCAAGTAAAATATTATTGGACAGTATATCCTGTGACACACAGCGGTCTCTGATCTGCCACACAAACCATTCCATTGCGATATATCTTCTTTGTCTCCTTCCTCCAAGAAATCCACCATATCTAGTTGAAAGTCAATTGTAAGGTGGCCGAAGTTCACCAATAGCGACCCAGGAGTGCGAATGCTCCAATGACCTTGAACGCATGCTAGCTGTCGGCTAACGACACGTGTCACTATCACAGCTGAAATATCCATGTTATTGACCGGCTACGCAGCAAATTTCAGCCAGATCATACTTCTAAGTACTGTTTCGACAATGTGATAATACCTCTTTAGGTTTTAGATCCGTATTTGAATTTGCATTATGGTTTGAATTACGATTTGGATAAGGGTTATGATTACGGTTAGGATCAAGGTTGGGGTTAGTGTTAGGGCCAGGATTTAGGTTAGGGTTACGACTAGAGATAGATTTAGACTTAGTGTCATTTTTTTTAAAATTTGTTTTCTTATACACATTTCCCTGGTAAGTAGTCGTCGATCCTCTTACTGGAAACCATAGTAATTCAACCGAGTGCTTTGAGGAAGACTGCAGCAGAGGATAAGAGGGGTGAACTTTTCACGAAAACAGCTCATCTCCAGTCAGTTAGGTGAATACATGTCCAGGAACTAGTCTAACTTAGCATTTGATACTGTTTATGATATCCGGGACCCATTTTTGAGTCAAGTCAGACAAAGATACCCTGTCGAATGTGTTTTCATGCATTTTCTTGTAAATGAACGTCATTTCTGTGCGAAAATTCCTAATTTTTATGACTGGTTGGCTGAAGGTCATTCGCGCGTTTGCATCCCTTGG